AAGACCTGGATAGGTTGCAGGGGTGGGCTAACAAAAACAGGATGCGTTTCAATACGGACAATTGCAGGGTGCTGCACTTGGGCAGTAGTAACCGGCAGCACACTTATAAGATGGGAAACTCCCTTCTTGAGAGCATGGAGGCAGAAAGGGATCTTGGAGTCATCATTGACTCCAAGATGAACATGGGCCAACAGTGTGAGGTCACGGTCGGCAGGGCTAACTAGACCCTATCGTGCATCCACAGGTGCATCTCAAGTAGGGCCAAGGAGGTGATCCTCCCCCTCTACGCGACACTGGTCAGGCCGCAGCTGGAGTACTGTGTCCAGTTCTGGGCACCCCACTTCAAGAGGGATGTGGACAACATTGAGAGGGTCCAGAGCAGGGCCACCCGCATGATCTGGGGACAGCAGAGCAGATCCTACAATGAGAGGTTACAGGACCTGAACCTGTTTAGCCTTCACAAGAGAAGGCTGAGGGGGGACCTTGTGACTGTCTATAAACTCACTAGGGGGACCAGAAGGGGTTGGGGGAGACCTTGTTTCCCCCAGCACTCCCCAGGATAACAAGAAATAATGGCCACAAGTTGTTGGAGAGTAGGTTCAGATTAGACATCCGTAGGAACTACTTCACAGTTAGGGTGGCTAGGATCTGGAACCAACTTCCATGGGAAGTGGTGCTGGCTCCTACTCTGGGGGTCTTTAAGAAGCGGCTTGATGCCTACCTGGCTGGGGTCACTTGAGCCCAGTTTCTCTCCTGCCCAGGCAGGGGGTCGGACTTGAAGATCTACAAGGTCCCTTCCAACCCGACTTCTATGATTCTATGATTCAGTAAAGACTGGTGGAGAACCCATCACAAGTCTAGATAAGGTGTTCCCTTGGTCTGTCAGGTGTGTTTACTCTTAAAAGTTCATTTGACTTGGGTTAGATGTAGCTTCCAGCCATTGCTTTGTTCTGTATTTTCTCACTAAAGACCCCTTTACTATCAGAAATCTCTTCAAGTTATCATCTCAGCTACTATCATTCTTTTGGACAAACGAACTTGACTAAGCTTCTTAATCATCTTACTGTAGGGCACATTTTTCAGAGAAGAAATCATTCTTGTGGCTCTTCGCTGAATAGCGTGGACCAGTGGGATAGACTACCAGAAAGTTGTGGACTATCCACGACTGGAGGTGTTCAAGAAGAGGTGGCATCGGCATTGGGTGGGGATGATATAGGTGTAGCTATGCCTGTGTTCTACTATGGCAGGGGTAGGTAACGTCTTTGGCCAGAGCACCGAAGAAAAAAAAAAAGGTCTACTTTGTAAGGTGCTGGAGTGCCGGTATACCAGGAAAACGAAACTGGAGCAGGGGGGAGGACATGGCAGGATGCACTGCATATTAATATAGTTAATAATCATAAATGTTGGCGGTTTCACAGTAAATACCAATTTTTCTAAAAATTCTAAACCTGGTGACAATAAATAAAAATTCATCTGCTATCTTTTTTGTTGTGTGTTCTTTTTTGGTTAAGTGTGTTGTGATGAGAGAGAGGGAAAAAAAGAAAGAAAGAAGAGGGGAGCAAGTGAGAAAATAAGAGGGGAGGCAGCG